GTCATCAAACATTCCCAGTAATCATTCATCGAACCAGCCGACTCGTAGACATAGTCCTGAAGGCCCAAGACCTGAGTTGCGCCTGGCGAAAGCATGGATAATCCATGCATTTCTAGAGCAAGTGTTCTGTAATCATAACCGCTCGCACGAAGGAAAATCAGAATTTCTAAAAATTGGCACCGGCCCCCCCCTCCCCCCGAATTCATAACAAAATATGTCGAGTGCCGAAAGATGTGCGGCGTGTGGTCGGCTATCAGCCGGGCCTTCCTTGCATGCCGCCCGCTTGCGTTGGCCCGGAATTCCTCGGTGCCCGGGCCATTCGCAGACTCGGCCGGCGGTTTGCCGATGTCTGGAAGATTGGCGCGACCCTCACTCCGCGCAAACGGATTGGACTGAATGTGTGCAAGTTTGGTACAATTCTGTAGCAATGCGAAAAATGGTTATTTCTCAAACTGTGCTACAACATGTAATGATTGAAGCGCGTGAGGCCTGGGGGGCATGAGATCCTCGGTCACTGGCCTGGCACTGTTTGCCCAATCAACTTGGCGGTTGATGCGATCGGGGGTTTGCCTGAGCATGCGCCACTTTCTGAAGTCGCCATCTTTGCCCGCTCAAGCAAGAATATCCACATACTCCATCTCATGAAGTGTGCATTCTGAGGATGATCTCTAATTTTTCTGCCCCCCCTCCCAAGGCGGCTGGGCCGCCATTGGGGGTGGCGGACAGGCTAAGGCAAACGTGTCCCAGTGCCTCTGTTGCAGAGGATAGTTCGCTGCCATCGTCGGGATCGCGCGAAATCACTTCTGGATCCCAGAACAATTGCGCGGGGAATGGACTGGGCTGAACGGGCGCAGGCTGCGCGCCCCCGGTTGAACCGACGGCGCCGCCCGGTTCCACCTAGAGACTAACTCGGAGGTGTAGGGCCACTGGGCGCATCAGATGGATGGCCCCCCGCGTCGGAAGCGTGCGCATTTTTGTCCCTGGCGTTCGAGTTTGTGCAAGGTGTGGATCCCATCCCGTTTTGAAAAAAAAAACTGATTGAATGTTCTTTGGCACTCTCTGCTTGGAAATCTGAGATTCGTCGCGTGGAACTTGGTTGGTCAGGTATTCTCTATTGCCCTGCCCAGATCCTTGTGATTCGTATCGTTGGCAGACCGCGTGGCTTGGAGCTTGAATGCTGTTGTCGACTGGGCGAAGAGTTCAGTCGTGTCTTGGCCCCCCCTTTGCCGCGTTGAATTTTCAGTCAGCAACGTGGGGCATGGCAATCATGGGGCGATCGGCATCTGCCAACTGAGCGCGTGATAACTTCAAAAATCCAAGCAGGCGCGAGGTTCTGCAAAGCGGGGGCGCGCGCGGCTGGTGCGGTCGGATTTCTGCCCCATCCATCCCCCGAATCGACCGTGGGCATTCGGCGCGCGGGAATCGATGGCCCCGTCGCTGGCCCGTTCGCGGAATTGCCCCGCCCGCGGCGCCGGTCATCTGCACGTCGCCCGTTGCCCCCTGAGCCCCGGCAAGCGCGCCGCCGCCGGCTGGGCCAGCGGCGGGCGCCGCGGGGCCGTAGGGCGCGGCGGCAGAGGCAGCCCCGCGCGCCGACCTCTCCGGCGGCGGAACCTCCCCGACGTGAGCGGGGGGCGCCTTGCAAGGGAAAAATCGGTTCTGATGCGACGGGGTTTGCCTGGGCAGCTGCTCCGGCGCACCCCGGCGGATGGGGCAGAGCGGCGTTTGCGCCGCGCTTGGCGAGCTCAGCCTTGGCATCTTTTTCTCCAGTGTCAATCTCGGCTATGCTGGCCGCTGTCTCAGCCTCTCTTGCGAGCCTGGGCCTCTCTCTCGCGAGCTTCTTGCATCTTCGCCTCTGCCCCCCTTTCGTGGGCCTGCTGCGCATGGGGCTTCGTCGCGGCCGCCCGTTCGCGAGCCTCTGCGCTGGCCTCCATTTTTCGAACATTTGCGACGAGCAGTCACCTCGGCCTCTGCTGTGGTCTGTGCTTTCGCACGCGCGCCGCCGCGTCACTTTTGCTGCGTTTCATCGCTCTTTTCTCCGCCGCCAAGACCCGGGGCTGAGCTGGTGGCCGGGCGGTCGGGGTTAGAGTTTCGGAACCACTTTCCCTCTCTGCGGCCCCCGATGTACAGTCGGACCAGCGGCCGCGTGTCGGAACAGCCATAGCAGGCACGGGTTTCTCTTTTTCCTTGTCGATCAGGAGAGGCAGATCATGGAGGTCCGCGACTCCCATGGGGGGGGGTCGCTCGCAATGATGGGTGGCTCTTCTTAAGGGCACTTTTCTTTTCAAACGACAATGTCCAACTCTCATCGCGCTTTGGGGGCGGTTCAAAGTCGGGGGAAAACTCGAGTCTTCTCTGTTCAAGGATGGGCTGAGACCGGGGGCCCAGATAGCCTGCGCAGCGCGTATCGATCCTATCGCATTATTCCTGATTCCGCTCGCATTCCATCTTGAAGTCAATCTCCAATGCTTCGTCCGTAGAAATTGCGGGCCCGAGCAGCGCCCAGGTTTCTCTGGATACGTGGAGCGCAGCAAGTGTCCATGCGTACAAGCGAAGCTCCAATGATACAGTGTGGGCAAGATCCTCACTACACATGTGCGGCTTCGTCCCCAGCCCCAGGCTTCTGATCGTCTTCGCATTCTTTCCAGGGCTGTTGAAAATGATTTATGCAGCTCGCCAGGTTCTGTCCTGAAGAACCTCCTCGGCCACCGAAAAGGCCAAGTGTCGAACATGCGAATTGGGATCATGGAAACTGTAAAATCCGATATGCCGCTGATTTACCCCTCCGTCGCAACCGGGATTCGACGGCAACGGCGCATGACCTCCGATGACCGCTCCGAAATGCAGAATGTGATCTCCGTGCGCGCAACGAGGCCAGTTCTGAGCCCTGGTCTAATACTATTTGGCGGGGTCAACCCAGAATTGCATCGTGAGCCCAGTGCAACGGTACTTGTCCGTGAATCGTTTCACCGTGGCTGCGGGCCAATTCAGTCGGTCCTTGCAAATTGCACTTTCGTTCAACGACGTGCGATCTTCCTTGGGAGCAAATCATCGAGCCCAAAGCGGAATCACGTAATTCGCCCCAGGCTTCGGAATCTTCGCACTTTTAGCAATCAGACATGTGGCCACCGTCTTCCATGATCGCTGTGGGTTCATGATCGATCTGATCCCCCCGTCCATTGGTTGAGCCAATGCTGCAGTGATGTCTTCCGTCGGGAGGAAAAGGGTCGTCAAGCAGAGAAATGATGGGGGCGCCTCGGGGAATACGACCTGTCACGTCATTGGTTGAGGTGCTAGAGTGATCTCGCGCAGTCCCTGAGGGAACAAGCAAATCCGCGTCATTCCCTGTGGTTGGTCATTTGCGCATCATTTGCGACAGTCGAGCTTTCGGCAGATAGCCAGCCATTCGCCAGAGGAACGCTGTTTCTGGCAAGAGTGGCGTTTGATGGTGCGACTAAGGCATTGGTAGCATCGCTCAACATAGGTGTTTCTGACATGCTTCCATAGTCCGTTAAGCTGTGAGTAGGTGTATGCAAGAAGACAAAAAAACGAGAGGGACGACGATGAATCCGACGACGTTACGCGATCCTTTACCTCTCGCGCCGAAGGGGAACGTGGTGCCCACAATCAACGTTAGTCGTCCCTGATGTTTAAACAATTGTGGAGGCGGCGCCATAGACCGAGCAGGGAGAAACTATCAATCCATATTCTGTTATTTTCGGTTTCTGGGGGCCCTTGCCAGGGGCCGTCCCGGGGAATGGGTCGAGACCTTTGGGGATCGGCGTTATTCGGGGACGCACAGACCTGGGTCAATCCAGACCCGGGTCCGTTAGGCATTGCAGGATCCTGCAAGATCTTGCAAGATCCTGCGCCCAGGCCAATGCACCCCTGGCTCTGCAGGATCTGGCAAGATCCCGCGCTCTGACTGACCCCCGTTTGCATTGACCCCCGTCTTTTGAGTCCCGAGGCGTCTTGAAAAACCATGACACCGAGGGTCTGGGCTGGTGCGGTCGGAAGCTCTTGCCTAGCGTGTCGTAGCGGTGGCCCCGGCGACACGCTGTGCCCTGCAAGCGGATACAGTCAACCCGTACAAAGGGATGCGCGGCAAGGATGCAAGGGCCTTGGAGGGCTATATCGACACTCTGAGAGCGGGGCGCGGCCAGCGAAAGCAGCAAAGTATGGGCCGAAGGGCAAGGAAGCAAAGGTAACCTTGGAAAGTCGCTCATCCTTACTATACGGGTTGACTGTAGCGTGTCGCCACGCTCCGCGGGGCAGGATGCTGGGACAGGCTCGGAACATTGACGCTCGGGGGTCGAGACGTAGATAGCGTGTCGCTCCGAAGCGTGGCGGGCCAGAACTGGCGGAACGACACGCCAAGGTAAAGTGGCAAAGTGCCTGACTGCACTTGACTGAAAGCTGGTGGAAAGCTTGTGGATCACCAATTGAGGCAAGGCCGAGGAAGTCACTGCCGCCCTCGTCAGACAAGGAAGCCACCTGGGCCTGAAGCCTCCTGGGCGCATTCCCGAACGAACGCCCCCACCGTAACTACTCGTCCGCGAACTCGACGTCACGGGTGGGCCGTGCGTCCGAAAGCGCCTGGCCAGCTTGGTGTTTTTCGCGGGGCCATGCCAAGTGCGGCCTCGGGGAGCCCTTTGGGGCGCGGATGGCCGGCCCTCCTCCTCCTGCCTCCTCCCTCCGTTTCCACACTTCCCTCCTGTTCCTCCTTCCTCCGCCCTCCTTTCCCCCACCCTTCCCTTCCTCCCCCTCATCCTTTCGTCGACCGTCGGGCCCAAATGGGCTCGGCGCTCGCCCAGCAGAAAGGACTTGACCCTTCCTTCGTGGACAACCGAGCCGAACCGAATCCCCTCCTCTCCTCCCTCCCCTCCTTTCTCCCCCTCCTCCTCCCTCCTCCTCGCCTCCCTTCTCCTGCCCCCCCCCCCCGCCGTCGTCCCGTCCCGAGGGGGCGCCAGGGGCCCGCGCGCGCGGCGGCGGGGAAGGGGCGCCTGGTACTGACTGGCAATGGCCTGAGGGTGCCACAGGCGCTCCTCGTAGGCCGCGCGGGCGGAGTGGTGGAGGCGGGGGGGGGCAGGGCTGAGAACGGGGCAGACGGGGGCATGGGAGACGGACGAGAAGGGGGGAGGGAGGACGGGAGGGCGGGAGGGAAGGCGGGAGGGAGGGAGGAGGAGGGAGGAGGAGAAGGAGGAGGAGGAGGAGGAGGAGGAGGAGGAGGAGGAGGAGGAGGAGGTAGACGACGACGACGTACCCTTGGCCACGTCACGAGGCCCCGCCACGCACCGGCCACGACCCCCGCCGCGCCGGTCAGCACCTGGGACGGCGAGGGAGGCGAGCACGATGAATGACGACCCCTTCAAGGAGGGTCTGGCCCACCACGCGCACGGATGCCGATCACGTAGTGAGGAACCAATAGGGAGGAGGGCGTGCAAAAGTAGGAGGACAAGGAAGAGCAGGCAATGATGAATGCACATAGAAGCCAGCACACGTAGAGCATGACACCACACAGCCTGGCGTAAGCCATACTGGGCAGCTAATCCACACCAGGCTCCAGAGGTTCAGTGCTTGCAGTCTGATGCGACAGATTTGCCGAACTCTGAAAATAACATAACGCGTACGTCTCCTACTGCTGGTGACGATGCGAAAACTGAAGGAAACCTGCCTCCCATCACCCCGCTCGCGCCACCAGCTGCTATCTATCCCCAGGAGGCGCGGTTGCCTGGGCAGGGAGAAACGGATGAGGCAGAAAAGAGGCGCGGGGGGCATCGGGGAATGATGGCAGGAATGTAGGACGGAACGGGACGCAAGAAGAAGACGGGATCACGACGGAGCAGGGGGCAGGCGCGGAAGCGGGATGAACAGGAGGAGTAGGGCCACTGGTGTTAACCCGAGAATCACCATTGATGTTGTAATAAGCCTTTCCTCCAAGCTCCCTCATATGCCCCTACACGGATTTATTTTCACTGAAGGAAATGCCCCGTTGGAAAACCAAACAACTTGGACAGTACCAGGACTATATTCCTGGGGCTTCAACGCCGCCAAACAACGTTATTGTTGCGTCCTGGCGATCCCGAATCGCGCCAGAGCATCATGCCTAGGACTTCAACACCGTGAATCAACGCAAATATTACGCTATGACGCTCGTACGTCGTGCCAAAACGTCATTTCTGGGACGTCTGCAATAAGAACCCTTGCAATTGCTGCGCATTCGTAAGATGACTGTGCACGGCGATAAAACGAGAGCCACATTCAAAAAAGGTGCCGCCTTCCATCCGCGATAGGTTTACAATCTTTTAATACGAATGTGCGCGGCGCTTTAAAAGAAACAACCACCTGCTCAAAACCACCCGCCCTCCATCCGTGAACCTCTTGCAAATGTTTAAGACGAATGAGTGCGCGGCGTTGGGGCGGGAACAACATAAAAAAAGGTCCGCCCTCCATCCGTGAAGCTCTTGCAAACTTGTAAGACGAATGTGCGCGGCACTGAAGCGAAAACCACATTTTGAAGACGGCCCGCACTCCATGCGTGCAGCTCTCGCACATGTTACCTAACAGCTTGTTCTGATAGGTTTCTAGTAGGGTCAAAAGAGAACAGCAGATGACTCCACAGGGGGGTCTGGGCGGGTGCCGGACAGGGTGCCGCAGAAGTCGTTTTAAGCCAACAGTCACACACTTCGTGCTCTTCGACCTCCCAGAACTCCATTCCCGGGCCACATTCTGAATGCCCGGAGCCAACTGTAGGCCACTTCGTGCTCTTCGACTTCCCAGAACTCCATTCCCGGGCCACATTTTGAATGCCCGGAGCCAACTGTAGGCCACTTCGTGGTCTTCGAGTTCCCAGAACTCCATTCCCGGGCCACATTTTGAATGCCCGGAGCCAACTGTAGGCCACTTCGTGCTCTTCGAGTTCCCAGAACTCCATTCCCGGGCCACATTTTGAATGCCCGGAGCCAACTGTAGGCCACTTCGTGCTCTTCGAGTTCCCAGAACTCCATTCCCGGGCCACATTTTGAATGCCCGTAGCCAACTGTAGGCAACTTCGTGCTCTTCGACTTCCCAGAACTCCCATTCCTGGGCCACATTTTCAGCAGGGGCAAGAGCACGACGAGGAGGAGGACGAGCAAGACCAGGAGGACGAGGACGAGCAGGAGCAGGACGAGGAGCAGGAGGAGCAGGAGAAGAAGGACGAGCAGGAGGAGGAGGAGGACGAGCAGGAGGAGGAGGACGACCAGGAGGAGGAGGACGACCAGGAAGAGGAGGAGGAGGAGGAGGAGGGGAGGGGGAGGACTACCAGGAGGAGGAGGAGGAGGAAGGAGGAGGAGGAGGAGGAGGAGGAGGAGAGGAGGAGGAGGAGGAGGAGGAGGAGGAGGAGGAGGAGGAGGAGGGGGGGGAGAGCACCAGGAGGAGGAGAACGAGGACCACCACCATATGCTTCTACACATCGCTGTTAGGTTGCTTTGCCGGGATAATTTTAAGCGGATGTGCGCGGTGCTACGGCGAGAGGCGCATTTTGAAATCGGTCCGTCCTCTGTCCGTCAAGCCGTTGCAAATTTCCAGCTTAAACATCATACGTCGCGAAGAGGTCGCAGGCGAAACGCCCGGCCCGTCCGAACGACGCGCCTCGGCGTGCGAAAAGGAGGAATTATTCATTATCATACCAACCGGTGTGATCTCGCACTGCGTAATTTCGACCAATGTACTGCCTCGGTGTGCTGGGGTCCGTGTGCTGGGATCGGTGTGCTGGGATGTGTCGGACGTGCTGGGGTGTGTGCTGGGGGTTGGGATGCATGCTGTGATGTGCTGGAACACGTGCTGGCCGTGGCCCCCCTGGATGTGCTGGGATGTGTGTTGGCATGTGTCGGTGGGCGCCGGGGGTGCTGGAATGCGTGGGCGTTGCCTCTCCCCCCGACCTGGTCCCCCTATTCAGACGACCGTACCTCCCCCCTCCCCCCGTGGTCCCTCCTTCTGCTCCGACTGACCGTGCCCCCCCCGCTGCCCGACCGTGGCCCCCCCGGCCCCCCCGCCCCCCGACAGTGCCCCCCCCCAGCTGTCCGACCGTGCCCCCCCGCTCCACCCCCCCCGCCCCCTTCCTCTCATTCCATCCGGCCGTTCCCCCCCCTTCCCCCCCCGTCGCCATCCGCCTCTCCGACCGACCGGGCTCCCCGCCGCTGCCGGACCGTGGCCCCCCGGCCCCCCCCCCCCCCCCCGCCCCGACCGCGCCCCCGCCCCGCTGCCCGACCGTGGCTTCCCGCCCCTCCCATCCGCCCCCCCCGTATTCCGACCGACTGTGCCCTCCTCTCCCGTTTCTTCCCCTCCCTTTGTTCCGACCGGCCGCATCCCCCCTTGCTGCCCGACCGTGTCCCCCCGCCCCACCCTGCCCCTCGACTGCGCCCCTCCCCCACCGCGGCCCCCCCCCCCCCTCCTTTATTCCGACCGGTGCCCCCCTGCTGCGCGACCTTGACCCTCATTCTTCACTGCCTCCCTCCCGCTCTCATTTTTCAATATTTCCGCTTCTCATCGCCGCCGCTGCTTTTCGGAGGCCGCCCCGGGGTTCCGCGAATCCCCGGGGTAAGGCTGTGCAGCGCGATGCGTGCACAGCGAAGTCCGCTCGTCACTGTCCGCGGCTCGCGCGGGGGCGCCGCGCCCGTCGCGGGCCGCGGCGTGGCGCGCCCGGCGAGGGGCGGCCACCGACCCCCCCAGGAAGGGGCGGCTTGCGACCAGCGCGTCGCGCCGCGCAGGGCGGGCGGGAGGGGCGGGCGAGCGCGCGGCGCCCGCCCCGGGCCTGCGCGCGCAGAGGCGAAGGGTCAGGGGGAGAGGGAGGTAAACCGAAAAGGGGGTGTCCGCGAAAACCTTTTGGTCCGGATGCGCAGCAGCAGCTGCGCTCCCCGCTTCGCGCCGCCGTCGGGGCCCGCCCCCGATGCTTGTCGGAGGCCGCCCTGGGGCCCGAAAGCTCCGTGGGCCCGTCGCGGGCCGCGGCGGCGCGCCCGACGAGGGGCGACCGTCAACCCCGAGGGGGCAGCCCAGGAAGCAGTCGCGAAGCGCGAGCCCGATGTGCAGTGGCGTCGTCGCCGGGCGTGGCGGACAAATGGCTTTTCAATCTCGCCGCGCCAAAACAGGGCTGCGCGCCGGGCGGCGCCGCGCTGGGTGCCCCCGCGGGTTCGGCGAATGCTCTGCCAGCTGGGCCGCGGGCGAATTCACCTCCTGAGCGGCTTCCAAGAGACGCTGTTTGCGAGCGTTCGCGGAACATGTCGTGTATTTCCGCGCTGCGCGCGGGCCCAGCCGCCCTGGGCTTGCGCGAGCTCCTCGGGCACAGAAGCGGCGTTTTTCCACCGCTGCGCGCCCCCCTCGCGCAAGCTGTGCGCGTCGACCTGCGCGTCGCGCAGGTGGCGCGATAGCGTGCGCCTGAAGGGGCCCGCGGAGACGGGCTTCAAAGCGACCGCGCCAGTGGCGCATGACTGCGCGCCGTCGCAGTGTGCCGACGCCGAATCCCGCGCTGGGTGGCCGCGCCACGGTCTTCGACGTCTCCTAGCTCCTAGCTGGAGTGCTTGAACTTCCGCGAAATGCAGAACGCCGAAGAAGACGAAGGCGGCCATGGCAGCGCCCAGGATGCCGGCGGGAGACCCCTGCGCGACGCGGGCGCGCAGTGCCTTCGCCACTTGCCGCGAGGAAATGGCGCGCTTGGCTCGGCGCGGCGAGCGATCTGTGAGCTTCTTCAGCCCGCGCCAGGAATGCCGCGCCCGAGGTGTCCAGGCAGAATTGAAAGCTGGCAACAAATCAAGCGCAATATGCCAAGCCCTGACAGCGGCCATAACTGCGGATGCCGATCCCCAGGGCTGACGAACCAGTGTGGACAAGAGCGACATCGCCTCCTCCTCCGCGTCGCGCGGCAGGAGCGGCATCTGCGCGTCCGTTTCCCTTGTGCTCGCCACGCTGCGCATCGAGGCGTCGCGCCTTGTTCTCGCGGTCTGCCCCTGGGCGGCTTCGGCGCGCGCGCGTGGGCGCGCGCCGCAGCTGCCCGGCGCGCTTCCAGCGT